GGGTCATTAGTCAGTGCAGCTGGTCGTGAGGCAGCCACAGCCTCACTTCTCTGGTTTTGCTGCTTTTCTGAGCCTGGAGCTATCATAAAACTGAGGCCTAGATCTTATCTTTCGGGAGGAAAAGGTCAGGGGGTCTAAACCTCATGATCAGTGATATGCTGGGGGAGGAAAGTTTACCCTGGGGACAGGGTTCTTCTTTTCTCAGTTTTGCCCCTTGCTGGGCACCAAGGGCTTTCCGCCCTGGCGACCTTCTGTACCTGGCCCATGGTTGTTGCACTGCTCATGTCTGTCTAACTGCCTATAACAGTAAGTTGGGTTAGACCTCAGAGTTGTCACCTGGGTAACGGTCAGGTGATTCTGTGTCAACCACTTAATATTAAAAACATACACACATGAAAAAAGAACTTTGTATCAAAACTTTATTTATTAAACAAAAAATGCACCATTGGAATACCATTTCTATAAAAAATGAATATGAGACTGTTCTACAGTGATTACAAAACCCCTTTTCCTCGAGTAGTAGTATACAAGATCGTGTAGAAACAGTCATTGTTTTAAACTGTAAGCAAGTTTCCTTTCTCATAGAACAAGATTTACACTTAAATATTGCAATCACTAGTCTAATTTGGTTAACAATGCTAGAGTCTGACAATTTAAAGAAACTCTTTGTAGGCTCAAAATACCTTTTTATTTTTTCAAAGGTGTTTTGTTGCAACAAAAATTTTCTTTTTCCACTAAGGCTAGTTAAAGCTGTAGTATACCCATTTCTACCAAATAAACCTACCACTAGCACACTAACAATTTGCTTGAGTTGCAAAGCCCTTAGAGAGAATGGGTAGCATTGATCTGAGGAATGCTATCAGAATATTTTAGGTGTGGTGCTGTCTTGTTTGAATGACCCTGGAAAGGGAGGAGGCGGAGATGACAGAGCTTCGGTAGAGGCTTTGCCTGGGCTATCCTCATACTCAGCAGTGGACAATTCATTTCCAAACTGGTCCCTCTGAGACATGGAACACTGCAGCTTTAACAGCATTACCTAGATTCCCAACCAGATCTCCCTTTTTTTTTTATTATCATAAATTATCCAAAAAGAAGCCACTCTAAATAATAAATTAAATATTACTTATAAAAAGTACACCCCGTACCCAACCCACCCAGCCCCCAAACAAGCTGACAATTCACAAAGTTCAGAATTGTCAGGTTTCCCCTACAATAATAAAAAACAGCATTTCTCCTCCTTCCCAACGTTCCTTTCTTGCATCTGAAAAGACTTTCAGCACACAGTGAGATCCCTTGGCCCATACGTCTGTGTTTATGACATCTTGTAGAGTCTTGCTGTTGCTCTCCTACCAACCAAAAATCATAGGGTGACAATGTACAAAGGCTCTCCACTGAGAGCAGGAGGAGAAATCCTTCAGAGAGCGCAACTGGGGGTCTGCCAGGAGAGCATGACCACAGAGCAGCAGTGGGGGGCTCGGGAGTGATGCTCACTCGCTGCCGTGGGCAGGTTTTGGTTTGCTGAAAAACCTCACTGACCAGGAAACATGAAGGCATTTCTTTCAGAATCAGTACCTTTTGGAAACAGGTATTTGGATAGCAAGTAACACTGAGGCATGGGGGCGCATACGTTTCAGTGGGATGGAATATCATACAAAACATCTGATTTTCCAAGGTACCCAATTTAATTTAAAAAATTAGGATCCGGCGGAAAGCTTTTCTGTACATTATTCAAGTGATTTCTGAAAGTTGCTAGGAAAATACAAATTGTGAGTTAAGTGTTGCTTTGAAAATGATTTTAAAAAGAGAGAGTGTGCAGATCTGAGCGTGTGGCGGGCTCTGCACTGAGCACACGCTCATGAATGGGCTGGGACACTAACCTCTGGCCCTGGGGCAGCCTATGGCTACATGAAGCAGACTCATTGAGGGAGGAAAAGCAATCTTGTCCCACATGTTTCAAAGTTCGGGTGATTTTGTTGTCTAAAAACACACCTAAAACTGGAGAATTTTTCTATTTTTTTCTCTCTCAAGGACTAGAAACAGACATTCTAAAATCATAAGAAACCTGAGTCTGGGATACAATTTTATCTAAAATGGCAAGCTGATCTCTTTATAGGTAACTTTTCTTTTTGGTCAGAATTATAGTCCCACTGCCGTGTGTGAGCACTATATTTAAAACTGAAGAAGATCTGAAGATGTTTCTTTAAACCAAGTCAACAGACAGATGAATCAAAAGGTGGATAGGCCTGGCTGGTGTGGCTCAGTGGGTTGGGCATCATCCTGTGCACAGAAAGGTCGCCAGTTTGATTCCCAGTCAGGGCACATGGCCTGGTTGTGAGCTTGATCCCTAGTAGGGGTCATGCAGGAGGCAGCCGATCGATGTTTCTCTCTCCCTTCCGCTTTCTAATAAATCAATAAACTATAAAAAAAAGGTGGATAAAAATGAGCAACCATCTTCAAGCACAGACTATAAAAGCTTCTAGAAAGGCCTATACTTAGAGATTCTTTATAGAAAAAGCCAGTGAGTGCCAAAGCTAATAAGCATTTTTTTTTTCAGATTATTCAATTGAGTATGCATTCTGTAATACCCAATGTTAAGTTCCATTATTTAAGTTCCATTATTTAAATATTCTAGAAGCTTATAACTCTGTTCTACACAGAGGTACCTAGACTGGTTTCTTACTGAATGTGAATCACTAAGAAATATTTAACTTTTGGCTACAGCATCATCCAAATATGCCTTATGCCTCTTGAACTTTGTGTTGTTGAGTTTAACAGATTCAGAAGAAAAGAAAATCGCTGTCTTATCAGTAAGAAATACAAAAGAATGATACCAGAAATTTTTAAGAGGTGGTTCTTGCCTGACAGTTCAGCACAGGGCAGGGGAGGCCTGAGCATGCCCTGCCAGGTTTTATTTTCTTCTTTTGCAGGGAGAAATGAGTCCTGGTGGCAGCATTTCTGGATGGCTGTCAAGCGTCATCCTATGGGAGTCAGAGATTTATGAGCTTCAAGAGCCCTGTATCTCATGGGCTAGACTCAGAGTAGGAGCAAAATCGAGGTAATCTTTCAGTATTCAAAGATTTCTTCTTGTCAAGAGATCAGGAGATTGGGAAATTTAAGTTACCTGTAAACTTGGCCAGACAGTTATACGCATATGTGAACTCTTTGAGAGAGTGGGGAACAGAGTTGTAGGGGAGTTGTGGTGAAGACACTGCATATTGAAACCACTGGATAAATCACACACGAATCTCTTGAGAGAATTTAAATGGATATTTCTATACATTCACTGCATGGAGCTAAGACATATTAGCATTGCCAATAACTGCTGAAATGAACCATTATGTTTAATGAAGAAAGTTTCAAGAGCACGTATCAGAAACATACCTCCCACTGAAAACAGTATGTACTTTCACGTATTTTAAAAAATGTTATTTCCTAAGGTTACTGACTTTGATTAGAAGAGTCTAGAATTTTGTGAAAATGCTAGTTGTCTGGATTGTCCAGATACAGTCTACAGATTAAAAATGCGACTCAATCGCTGACTTCTGAGGTTTGCAGCCTATTAGAAACTGAGCACAAGGATGACCTTCCTTGGATGTCAAGTGCCTTGAGAGAATGCTCCTTTTTTGTGAATATTAGAAAGGGGAAGCCATTCGAGGACTGGGAGAAGGTAAGCCTATGATGAACATTTTCTTTTCTGAAGTAATTATTTCTGCAAGATTCAATATTATGTTGTTATGTTATGAAATGCCTTGTTCCCGGTCAGTGGGCCCACCTAAGTACCCAGATGTTAAACAAGGGTAATCTGCCCCACAGAAAAATGTCACATAGCTCTTCAGAAGGACTTCAAGAAATTCTTGGTAAATTGAACAAGTACTCTTATTGAAGAAACGATTTCACAAATGGACCAGACTTTCTAATGAATTAGAACAAGTCCTCTCTCTGACATCAGATTTCCTTCCCGACATAAAACTGTAAAAAAATAATCTGAATTATTACTTCTGTTACAGTGCCATTTTGCTCAAAATATTTCATTCAGGGATTCGAATATAATTACCCACCTAATAAAAGGAGCTATTAGGTTTTAAAGATCCTATCCCTTCCATGCTCTTTTAAAATTATGACCTACTCAAGCTTGAAATCAAAGGCAGAGCTGAAAGAAATAATTCAGCAAAACTCTCCTATTGGGTTTTCAAGTCACCTAACTGATAAATATGCAAACTAGCTCTCTTTTGGCAATCCGGCTGCATAAACAGGGATTAACTCCAAATGCAGCTGAAAATTCAGAAACTAAAAGGGGGCACTCAAAATGTTTTCAATTTCACCTAGTTCCAAATAGTAAATAAACATGGCAATGAAAAATTCTAGCTCCCAATGAAGATGCAGGTTGAAAAGCAGCTACTGGAGTTGTGTTGGAGGTGGCCCGGCTCCTTACCCTCTACTCCTCCCTGACTCTGGGGAGCTGGGGGCGGGGAAGGGGGTAAGAGGTGCCCTTGACAACAGGGCCTGTTGGCTGCCACTTACCCATCCTGCCCACTCCAAGCCAGCGAGGACCCTGTCGGTGGGAGTGACATCACTCAAGAAATGTCTGAAACTGTCTCCCGCTTTCCTTCTGTCCTCGGGGCCTGTTCTCAAGGAGGGTGCTGCTTCTGCAGAGGGCTCCAGGGCGGGGGGCAGGAGGCCGTGTGGGGTGTGGAGCAGGCCACCTCGCCCAG